CCTCTGCTACTGGTGTTACAGTGTAAAATACAAGACAATACATGTAACTGCAGTCATGCAAATACATATAAGTTACAAAGTTAAAATGTATAAAAATATTTATCCATAATTAGTGAAATTATTGTTATTATTGTTTATTAGATTTTGCTGAAGTAGGTTTATTTAATAAACTATAAGGGGCAGTCAAATGAAAATGGGTCACCACACATAACTCGCATGGCGTGCAAGTTGTTAACACTGGAATTTGCTTATGGTATGAACATCTGGTGGGGACTCTGGAAAGCACAGTGACAACATGCCATTGCACACTAGTCATTTGTTTATTGTGCTGGAAGTAAGGTTAGCACTATGTGTGATCATTCAACATCAGTAATGGAGGTGGGTAAAGAAGAACAGCGAAGTGTAGTGCGCTTTTTGACTGCTGAAGGAGTAGGAGGACGAGAAATTCTGTTGTTTATGGCAAACACAGCATGTCACGTTCGTGTGTGCTGGTGTGGCATAAGAGATTCCAAGAGGGACGTGTGTCACTGCAAGAAGATGCTTGCCCATGACAGGCTCATGGTGTCACCACTCCTGATGTTATTGCTGTGTTGGATGGTCATATCCAGGCAAACCGACAAATAACTGTGGAAGAAATTAGTCTTTTGATGGGAATAAGTCACGGTTCCGTACACACCATTGTGACAAAACACCTGCTATACCGCAAAATCTGCGCGCAGTCAGTTCCACATCAACTCACAGAAGAAAAGAAGACTCAGAGAATGGCTGCATCACTGGGTCACTTTCAATGATACCATGAGGAGAAATATGCTTTTCTGTCCTGTATTGCCACTGGGGACAACACTTGGTGCCACCATTTTGAACCCAAGAGCAAACAACAGAGCCAACAGTGGAAACACGTGAATTCTCCCCCACCGAAGAAATACAGAGCCGTACACACAAGTTCCGGGAAAGTGATGATGACGTTCTTCTTCGACTGCAAGGGCCCTCTGCTTGTCGAATTTCTCGAGCATGGGGCCACAATCAGTGCACAGCGCTATGAAGATACTTTGCAGAAACTGAGACGTGCCATAAAGTCAGAATGACCTGGAATGCTATTGAACGGCATTATCCTTCTTCATGATAATGCGCGCCCCCACATTGCCAACTCTGTGAGGAATATGCTACAGAGATTCGGTTGGGAACTGCTTCAGCATCCCCCCGACAGCCCAGATCTCTCCCCATGTGATTTTCACACTTTTGGAGACCTGAAGAGAGTCATTCATAGACATCAGTCAAAGATGTGTGTGGCTGAGTAAAGATGTTCCATAGACAGCCCACAAGCTTTATCAAGGATGGGATTGACCGTCTTATCTTCAAGTGGGATAAATGTATTAACAGTTTTGGAGATTACTTTTGAGGTAAGAAATGTTCTTTAACTCTTTGACTGGCGCGAAGGGTATTTAAATCCCACCCCTGTCCTGGCAGGCCCTTTAAACCTTATGTCGCTAAAATGCATGTAGTTACTTTTTCCTAAACAACTTCAACAAAAATTGGTTTTTAAAAACGAAATT